AGTGTCTCAAAATGTAAGCAATTACTAAATATGTAAATCTAATATATAATTTATTTACTTGTAGCAATCTTGTAAGGTTGCTTTCTTTCTGGCTAACTTTTTTGCAAGTACTTGCAAGTCCGGGACGCGTCTCAAATGATCTTCGCTAAGATTCGATCTTAAATCATTATCATTCACCAATGCTTCAACAATATCGTGTCTTTCTTTTATAAGAGATAAATCTTTCAAAGGTTGTCTGACCCATTGTGCAAGAAGTCTATGCCCCTGAGATGTTCTACATTTATCCAAAAGGGTCAAAATACTTGTAGGTGCATTTCCACTTATAATAGAGGCACTATCAATGCGTGGTTCAATATTAAGTGCTTTTATAGCAGATGAATCTAACTTCAAATAACGCGACTGTTTTATTTGGTCTATGCTAAACTGATTCAAATTTCCTTCATCTGATGTTAACTAATGGAAAATTGTTATGTTAAGTACACAGTACAAAATAGTTTACTTAAATCAGTATGTAATACTTACATCTAAATATTTGATAAGAGCAGATGTAGCAGACATAGCAAAAGTTAAATTGATTTCAGGTAAAGATTGTGCAGTTTGCTGTTGACCTTTCTTGAATTTTAATAAAGTGTTTAAGTCTTGTATAACAGATTCACTAGAAAATTCATTTTTTTTCCTTGTAGTGACCATTACATTATTACGTTCCATTAACTACAAAAGGAAACAAGTATCACTATTATGTTAAGTTTTTAGTTCAATTGTTTCATATAAAGAGTATATCTTATCTGTTTACTTGTTTTAGAGTTTGAAATTCATAACTGCCTTCACCCTGAATTAGTAAGCATTCTTTTGGAGCTAGTGTAACAACAAGTGATTCCAAATTAGAAAATGATTCAATGTCTTGAAATTCACATACAGAAAATAAAGTTGCTGTAGTATCTACACAGCTTAATCCAACACTCTGAAATATTATAAAATTTAATAAGACTAGTGCAAGAACAATTCTAGTAAAAAGTGTTTATAAGATTGCTCATGATGACTCACTCTGGATTTTCCTTCCATTCCTAATTTCACAGCTATTACGCATACGCTAACGGCAACATCATTATTACCAAATATCACATCTTCAAACTGTGTTAAATTACCAGGAGAGCCCTTATATTCTAATACCCAATTTTGATTTTTTGCTGACCCTTGGTTAACATATATCTCTACTCTATATTGTTTTACTAACAGTAAATCACGTACAAAAGCCTCAAAATGATTTTTATTAAGAATAACACCCTCAGTTTTGTATGGATCTATATTAGACATAACATATATCACATTTATATATTCTTAAATATTATGAACATTTTTACACAATTTTTAAATATCAAAATCTTACCTGCTCCTATCATTTTACACACTGATGTGGTTTTAAAAACTTCCTGTGCAGCAAATAAAGCATCACTGCCATGTAATGTGTAATAATCAGATCTGTTGAAAAATCTTATAGTTGTACTAAGTT